TTTCAGTTTCATTCGAACGGCAAAACGCAGTCAAACGGCAACACGCTGGATATGTTGAATCGCGCGCGCAACTCGCGCGGACATATCAAGTCAGCGTGGGCAGAGCCAACAAGAGCCAGGCATTAACCGGCCTGAGTATACAGAGGTGTAGCTCATATAACAATGTTGCTCCTTAAGGCTATGTTACACGGTGCAATTTTTCTTGCAACTTGCAATGCAATTCTGCTCTTGAGAGATGTTAATTAGTGAAATCAGTGAAAAATTTTCGATATGTTGAGAAAACATCAGCGGAGTGTAATGAAGACTCGTATTTGGCAATTTTACATCTCTCAAGAGTAGAATTGCATTGCAAGTTGCAAGAAAAATTGCACCGTGTAACATGGCCTTTAAAGTGTCGAGATATCTGCATGAAGACGTTACTAACGCAAGCCCAGAAATGAATCAGCGCGTGCATGAGAGTTTGGCAGTCACGCGACCTTGGTCAGCTGTTCTTATTTAAAGCCTTTCGCACACGAGAGAAACTTGCTGAGCTAACGTACCGCCTCATGTGCGGATAGTTGTCATGAGCGAGGATTTAACCTCTTGATGAAAATATCTATCATGATTCATGTTTGATATTTGTTACCTCGCGGGGGAAAAATCGCGATGGTGCGAGCTTAATGCTGAGCCTGCTTTGGGGTGCATGCGTGAGAGGTCATTTACCTGTCTTGGAGTGAAATTGGACGAAACTCTTGAATGGAATGAACATATTGAAGTGATTTGTAAAAAGGTCGCGGCAGGTATAGGAATGATGAAGCGTATTAAACCTTTCGTCCCTGCCAACACCTTACAAACAATTTACCAAGCGTTAATACAGCCCTATTTTGATTATACTGTTTTCCCTTATGGGGAGTTTGGAGCAAACAACTCAAAGATAAACTTCAGAGATTCCAAAATAGGCCTGCAAGAATTATAGCCGGTGCAAGTTTTGAAACGCGATCTGCTGATGTTCTTCGCTCCCTTGCCTGGGACGATCTATAGAGACAAGACGGTGTACAATGTTAAGTATTATAATAGTGCAAACAGCACATAGTGTGGTGGAAACGCGGTTTTTGTACAAATTCCAATGGAAAAAATTCCTATTAGATGAAACAAAATTAAATATATCTTCCACGTTGTTTTGAATGAGTCGACTCTTTAAAGTCGTGACTCCGAACATATTTGATGCACATGATCATGACGTTTCCCACGCGAAAGACCATGTGCAAGTTGATGCAACAAACCTGTTTCGCCATTGACTAACCTTCGTAACTATTGTATTGTATTGTATTTAATTATACCGTATTTATACACGGTAACCTATCAATTGATATTGATTTTCATAGGGCCGTGTAATATTTACAAATAAAAGAATAGAACTATAATTACAATTTATCGCTTACTCATAGATGCTGATTCCAGGTCTTAGCTCCCATATAACTAAAACTTCTCTTCATAGAGTTTGTATTTGGTTTTGACAGTCTTAGGAATTTGCCATTACTTCTTAATTTATAATTAGAATTGTTGCATTTTTCAAAAAGGCAACCTATTATCTCCGGACCATTTTCATTCATAACATTACTCATACATTTTTCCATGAGATTTTGTCGCCTTTCATCCAGTGTTTTCCAGCCTAACTTAAGTAATATTTGTTTTGATCGATATCACCGTCAAGAAATAATACACCATTTATTAGGCCTTTGTCAATGTTACATAACCATTCATTTGTAACACTTAACAGTGCTGTCGATGTGGAATAACCTTTCCTAAATCCTGATTGATATTTTGTAAATAATTCATTGTCATCTGAATATTTACTGATTTGTTTATATAATATTTTCTCGAATACTTTAGATACAGCTGTGAGAACAGATATCGGTCTATAGTTGCCAAGTTCAGTCTTTAATCCTGCCTTAAAGATTGGAGAAACTCTAGCGAGTGCCCATTCGTCAGGAAATTTTTCCATTTTAAGTGACTGATTAAAAATACTCGTCAGTGTTGAAGAAATTACATAACTAGAATCTTTGAGAAATTTTGGAGATATATTGTCTAAGTATATTTCCTTCAACGATAAGCATTGACTCTGTAACTCTCTCTACTCGTAGATATACAAAAAAAACAAAGGTTGATATCGTGTAAGTTAAATAATTGTATATAGTTTATTGATTTGGTTAATGCCTTCGCCACCAGCGACTCACAAGCCACGGCAACGAATTACATGTATTAAATTCGCGAATTAGGGACCGGTCATTATTTATGGCAGGGGTGGGGGCCGAAGAGAAAGTATAATGAAGCCGGAAAAAATCATTACCCCACCTTTTTCGAAACAAAATTTCTAGCTACCCCACCGGT